GCCATCTGTCTCAGGGTTTCCTCAGTCCTTCTCCCATCCCTTGATCAATGTGTGCTTCTATCTCTTGCCCAAGAAAAAGGAATCTGCTCCAGACAGAAGTCTTTATCTAACCCTGAACCTGCTACTAAGAGGCCACAAAGAAAGACTGTCCCTACAAACAGACTTCGGGTTGGATGAATTTCACAGGTGAACCACAAACATCTCAGAGGGGCTGCAGGGACTGTAGATTGAGTCAATTTTTTTAGACAGAATATTGGGATTTAATCCTGACATGAGAGGCTCACTGCTGTTTTATACAGCTGAAATGTCAGCTTTTCAGTAATATGTCTATCTTTCTTGTTCCTTAAATTGCAGTCATCAAAAGCCTGTCCAAAGATCTTTAGAGGAACATGGAAGTAATATGTTTTGTACGTTGCTTGAGAAGGAGAGCTCATTCCAACCTGTGTTAGTAATCCCTAGATACATAAATCAGCATGTTTAAAATAAAAGGGTAGTCCTCTCGCTCCCATCATTGTCACTGTTCAATGGGATTTAAAATGAGCTTACAAATCAGGCTAGGGACCGGGAAGATAACTGATTACAGTTATCTGATGGTTTCACACTGTCCCAGTGATGCAGGAATGGGGTCCAGGGTGGCTCCCTGTCCAGGCCAGGAAGGTGTGCCCTGCAGCTGGTGGTCACCTGCTGGCACACACAGCCACCACACACTCTCTGCATCAGCAGGCTCCACAGGCAGCTGTAGCTAGACATCAGCTGCAAAAAAAGAGCTCAGCTCCTGAACTTACAGCCTTCCTTACATCAGGAGATGACATACAAATGCATTACAGCATTTGAGATCAGCTGTCTATCCTGCACCTGCAGGAGGTACTGGGAGAGGCTTAATGGGCAGTCCAGCATTCCTGCTTGCCAGCATTGCTGGTGTGTTTGTCAGCTGGGCTGTAGCTCAGATTTTGTTCCTGAGGCTGTGCAGGAGCATGTCTCACAGTGCAGACCTTAACAAAAGGGACGTGGTCCACCCTACACGGTACAAATGGCTACTAATAAACTACTTTCTCTCCTTGTCTAAATATTCCTGGCTTGTTTACCTTCTCAGACTACAGCAGAATCCATAAGAGTAAGTGGGGAATAAAAAGGCAAAGCGTCTCAGGGTAGGACTTTTGAGGAGAGTAATAAAACAAGTGAGGAGGTTTTACTCAGTTTGTGATGCTGGAGCATCTGGAGACATCATGATAAAGGAGGGTTAAAATGGTTCATTTTACTTTTGAAAGTATTTTACAGTATTTTGTTTTACTTTCCCTTTGAATGGATACAAGATTACCTGCTGCTTGGAACTGACAATTGAAACAGTACATTTGTTTAAAACCAGTCTGGGATAACTGAAAATTTTTAATTGACTGATTGACCACAGGAAACAGGTGCCAGATTTTGTTCTGGTGTTTACTATACATGGAGAATAGACTTCACAGTCTTCTCCTCTGACTATTCCATAAGAAACAGTGCAACACAACTCAAAAATAGTAAAAGTTAAAAATTACCCGAGAGTGCAATTCACAAATAACCTCCAGGATTGGGCTCAAAAAGAGAAAGTATGTGCAGACCCTTCAGCAGTAGATGCCTTTGGAACATGTAATTTGACATCCATAACCCTCCAGAATAATTAGAGGCTTTGTACAAGGCATCACAGATACCCCAGGTAGAAGTCCATCATGTTTGTGAACAACCTGAGCCTTTGTCCAAGTGGTCAGGTATGCTGAGGGTGTCCACAGCTCTCTGGTACTGTGATTCCAGGGACAATCTATGGCAAAGACTCCTATGATGTTAATTGCTGCAAATAGAACTGGTTTGAGGTTGGTGTAATCTCCCCAGGTTTGGACAACAGCCTTTTCAACCTGCGCACAAGACAGAACAAAAGTAACTCCACTGTTTGATAGCAGGCAAGTCCTTTCTTTTCAGGTCTGATGGTAAATTTGTGTAAAGCAAATCAAACTTTTTTCTTATCACCTGAGGTACAGATATTTGTACAAATAAGAAAATGAAAGCTCCCCCTTAGGAAGGAGCTGCAGAAAAGGGTCTAAACAGGTGTCTGACTTAGAAAGGTCTTTGGTTGAGAATGTATCAATAAAGCGGTGAGAACTTGCAGACAATACCTAAGCAAAGAGTTTTCAGCGAGTGAGAAAAGGGACTGCGACCTGTGCCCTCAATGTAACAGGGTGTCTCATCTACCTACACGACCTCACTTAGTGACTCCATGGCAAGTGAGCTGCAAGGGCCCTGAAGGCATCACCCTGGCCAGGGCCTGGCTGCCTGCCCTCACTTGGGCCACCAACCCTCCTCATCTTTTGTACATCTGGGTGGGACAAGCAAGGAACCAGAGTGTGTGGAGCCCAGATTGTGTAGAAATGGTTCTCAGGCAACCATTCAGTATGTTGGTTCATTCTCACTGGGGATTCAGGGCAGACCCTGCTCTGCATTGTCCAGGGAGAGCTAAACAAATTCCTGCAGGGATTCAGAGCATTCCTGATCAGGAAGAGTCCACAAGTCTGTTCTGGAGCCTGGCCAGGGTTACAGGGGATGAGCCAGGGCATTCAGATAGTGCCCCAGCACGGGAAGGACACAGCTGGGTTATGGCCAGCACCAGTCTTCGAGGAGAAAGGCACCACATCATCCCTGCCTGCCATTGCAACCTTTCTGATTCCTAGCCCCTTGTTCATCCCAGTTAGATCCAGAAGAGGGCCTGGTGGCAGAGGGCTAGCTGGGCAGACACAGTAGGAAGCTGGTGATCCCCAGGCTTGTAGGCAGCCAAATGACAAGCTGCTGGAGGACTGAGAGCCGGCTCTTAATGGATTACGATAATATTTGTTAGAAAATTTCCTCCTGTGAAAAGAAGAGCAAACCTATAGTTTCCCTTAGTTTAAGTGAGAGTCTGGAACTTCCAAGAAGCTGGGCTAATACCTTGAGCAAGAAATTTCATGCAATATCAAATTATTTTCTCTTCAAAACCTGTTGTTCTAGAAAATAAATGATGGAGAAGAAAATGAATAATTCATTATTTACTCATTTAAAAAGAAGCTGTTGGCAATGGTTTAGTCAGATGCAGTGCCTTTGGCCAATAAAGATGATAAAGGAATAATGAACTAGTCATCGATACTGCACCAAAAGAAAAAGGTCGAATTTGTCATTGGACTAAATCCAAAAGGCTAGATTTGTTCTGTTGTTCTAAAATGATGGCCTTCAGTCCCCCTTTGATTTTCACACTGCAAAATAGCTCTGGCAGAGATGGAATGTTTAAGCCTATTAAATGTTCCCATTTTATCTCTTGCTTTTTCAAACCCCATGAGGAATAGTTTGTGTCCCCTCAAGTAGCCATGCAGTACCACCCAACAAGTGCTGTATTAAAATAACTACTTAGGGCATTGTTCCGATACAGGGAACTGAATCTGGCCTCCGGACTTACAGACCCACACAGATTTCCTTGGAGAATTTGTTCCACAACAAAGAATCTTGGATGAAATCCTGACTTGGATTGTCCAAACTGCTATGAGGCAGGATTACAGTGATGCCAGGATTTCAGTTCCCCAACAACAATAGAAAAAAGCTGGTATTCCTGGCTACCCTTCTGTTGTACTTATACCTTGCATGAAGGTTCTTTGTGTCCTGTGTCCACCACATCCATAGCAGACAGGCCTATGGCCAATTTTTGCCCTCCTGTTACTGCAGGATAAGTCACCTCAAGGCCCAAAACCTCTGTCCTGCAATAGTAGAATCAGGAAGCATCATGGAAACAATCAGCTTTGTTGGGAGCTGACAAAAACTTCTGTTTGCATCAGCTGTAAAAATTCAGAGACTCTTATGTGTAACTTAAATGTTACTTAAATGTTACTTAAATGTTACTTAAATGTAATGTTCTTTCAAAGGATAAAGCAATGCCAGTCCCTCTCAAACCTGCTATATAAATTCCCCTCCTAAACTCATTTGGCATCATTCCCTCTTCTATACAATTTGCTTTTTCCGAGCCTCTCTTTGCAAGTTTCACACTTTTTCTCCTAACTGTTTAGTTCAATTTGTCAGTATGACTTCAGCAGGCAGGTTGGGTTGCTAAATCTGGCCTCGCCTACTCAGAACTCCACCATCAGATTCTGAAGGGGCAAACCCAATGATTATTAGTAATATTGCTCCAAAGAGCATTCCTTTTCATACTGTAATAAATATGACAAATGTGATATCACTATCTGAAAAATATTTTCCAACTTCTTAGGTTTTACTGTATTTAGAAATATTTATCACTTCTGCATCACAACTGCCTTAATTGCTGGAAATGTGTTTTACCTTGCTTTGGAAAGCAATGAATACACTAATCTGTTGCTGCTTGTACTGTGCTCTGCTTACTCCCTTTCAGACATGCTCAGTATGAGTTAATCTAGATTTACTATGTTATGACATTTTATGCCTCAGCTTGCTTAAATTGATGTTGGCAACATGGGATGTGAATTACTTGTCAACAATGCTTATATACTAGTATGATGAGTAGCATCCAAAGCCCAAGAAGGCAAAAGAAAGAGTGTAGATTTTACCACTTACACTGATGATGTTTGAACATCACTGTGCCCACGTGCCTCCACAGCACCCTTCACCTGGTCCACCAGAGCTTTGTATCAAGGTCTTAAAATGAAAATGCTGTTAGTGGGCACAAATTCCTCATTTTCATCAACAAGGGAGAAGGAAAGTACAGAAACATTCCCAAAGTTTCAGTGAATATGGATGAGCTTTCTAACTTCCCAGCTTGTGTGTAGTCCTGAAGGACAGGAAAAGATAACAGAAAACATTTCATGTTCCCATTAATTGCTGATCTTATACTGTTATAGTTGTTTTCATTTTTTTAATATTTATTGACTTATTTTCTATTTTGTGTTTTGTTCAAGTTTTTTTCCCTAACACAGAGAAATTGCAAATACAATGTTATCACGAGCAATATGCTGACTTTTTTTTCTTATCTACCTTAGGACATTTATTTATCCTTTCTTCACTAGAGGCAGACCTTTCCCACTGCAATTGCTTTTCTTTGGCATGTTATTCTGTATCTATAATGGCTTCCTCCAGGGGTACTACCTGATTTACTGTGCTGAATATCCGAACGACTGGTGCACCGACATCAGATTTACATCAGGTAATTACAGCTCCAGGATTACCAAGATCTAATCTCCAAGCAATTTGTAAGCATTTTGAATTATGTTCTAATCTTTACTGAACATGTGAGTCAAATCTGTTGTGGTGGAAATCAGCCTAAGACCTGCCTGCTGGCCCAGATAAAACAAACAAATGTGCAGTGACTTTTTTTTGCTGCTAGCCAGCCACCTTATAAGATGTACGATGTTGTGCATTAGTCTCAAATCACAAGTCATCTTTTACTGACACCACTCCAGAGCCTTCTGCTGCTATGGGCTGTGGAGATGCAATCTCAGGTCCCAGGTGCACAGGGATGTACCCTTGCTCAGCCAGAAGTGTCCACCCAGAAGTGGTTGTGTGTGAGTGCAAGCTGTGACTTTCTCTTCCCTGCCGGGGAGCTTTGCACTTGATACAGCTATTCTGACTGAGAGAGAAAAGAAGGGCAAAACCCCAGCATGAATGAGGCTTTAAGGACAAAGGGCTCTTTTTCTCATGGGAGGCACAGGGGAAGATTAGAGATCACGCACAGTCTGGTTATATGTTAATACAATTCCTTTATATTTTGTAACTTAATAGCTTAGCTGAATTTCCCCCTGTAAAATCCCTCAGAGAGTAACTGAACAAGAGTAGGTAGGTGGCATTACAGATTTGGTGCTGCACAAAGGGTGTTTTTTAAATGTAAGCATAGCAATGAAGATTAACGTGGGGCTCTGAGGAAACATTTTGGATATGGTAAGTTCAAACTAACCAAGGTACTTTCTGTACCCCATTTCAGACTGTGGACACAAATTTTTGGACAGCATGTATTAAAAATTCTGGACATTGTTTAGTAAGAGCTCCCACACCCAATAAAGGAAACATCACATCACTTAATTTTCATGATAAATAAAAATCATATATTTAATGGTGGGGGGAGGGAAGAAAATCAGTGCCAGTAGTACTTGAAATATTAAATAGAAAACAAACAGTATATTCTTCCTCTATAGACTCTGTTGCTACTGGAAGTGTTGAGGTTTTATCAGCATTTAGTTTTCCCCTATACTTCATAGCACACATGCCACCTCTATTGCTTTCCTCACTTTCCAGTCATTGTCAGAGGTGGTTTTCTCAGCGTCTAATGTAGCATGAAATGTAGGGCAGGTCACCTGCAGAGTTTCTCAATCAAATGTCTCTAGTTTTTCAGCTAAATGGAATATGCTTAATGGATCACTCTGGCCAGAAACTGTCAGCATCCTTCAGGGAGTACCTGCTCTTTGTGCACACCCATAGCTCTGTCCAAGCAGCCTCACTGGCAGCAGACTGGGATGCTGAGATACAGGTTCTCTTCCTGGTTACAGGGGTGTGCTGGATAAGTTTGTGACTCCGTACTCCTCTTCCCCAGCAGTAAAATGAGAGTATTGGTACTGGCCTACAGCTCAGTGGTTACTCTGCAGCGATGTCCACATCCGTGGCTGGTTGGCATCAGCCAGTTAGTGTCGGTTGGGTACTTTGTATCTCCCCTTGAACGTTCAATAAAGAGTGACAATGCCCACCTGGGAAGTCCTGCTTTCTCTCATAGTAGCTGTAAGTGCTCTGGTGTCATCAGTCATCTATGCTTCTCATGTTCAGTGGCCTCCTTGGTAGCAGCACATCTTTTGACTTGAGAAAGAATCCCCCCACTTCATGTTAGGACCCTTATCTGCCTGCTGCAAAGTTAAGCCTCCTGTATGTGCTTGAGTAGGAATGACTAAACAGAGCTGTCCTTCTAATCCATTTCTTGTTTATTCCTTAGGCCTCCTCTTATTTCTGCTGGGAATGGGAATCAACATTCACAGTGACCTCCTGCTGCGCCAGCTGAGGAAACCTGGAGAAGTCACTTACAAGATTCCTCAAGGTATATCCTTGTCCCCCATATCCTTGAAGAAAGTAGGGCATCAGGATAATGTTTTCTGACTGAATTCATTGGAAAGCTACAGTAGTGGCAGAGGTGCTGGTATCACACAGGTACTCAGTTCAGGTGCCCCTCTAAGCTGCAGGGACCAGCATGAGCTGGCTGCAGACAGTCCAAGGGAAGCAGCAAGACTATCTGGAAAATATGAGCTGTGAGGACACGTTTTTGGAAGTGGGCTGGGTAATTTAAAGATGATTGAAGTGGGAAACAGGAAGAGGATTTTAGCTCTGTGAAAGACAGCTGTAAAGATGGAAATACGCCTTTTCCATGTCCAAGAAGAAGAAGTAGCAGACTTCTTACTCTGCAAAAGGGAGATTCAAAGTGTTAACTTTAGGGGGGAAAAATAACACCAAGTATGCAAGGTGCTGAATTGCCTTTCCTAGGAAATGTAGAGCAATATGGATGGGGATCCAAGAATTTCTTGTTTTTGGTGTTGACTCCTTCTGCTGCCTTGTTATGGATGGTAATACCTCTCCCCCAGAGTTTCTCACCTCCAATACTTACCTGCCTCTTGTAAATGTTGTGAAAAACTGAGATCCAGATTTCGTGTTCCCCAAAGGCAGTGAATTTGCAGAATATTTTTAGGACATGAAAAGAATTGACTAATGTTAATAATTTTAATTTAAATCTAATAATGGGCTTTCTTGAGCTATTTGCCAAATGAAAATAAATGATTGTGTAAGTGCTGGAAAGCTCTGGGTGAGAATTACCTTTGATTCTTTGATTCTTGTATTTATACAAGAGTCCTGTACAAAATACCCATTTGGCATGGTTCCACTGGCTTCAAGGAAGTGGGTTTGGATTGCTGTTATGGACCTCGAATAAGAAAGGGAGAGTATTCTGCTGTTGATTTTATGGGAAATAATTCTCCATGGAGATGACTGTAAGAATTAAATATTTTGTCTGTTGATGCAGGGGGACTGTTCACCTATGTTTCTGGAGCCAACTACTTTGGAGAAATTGTGGAATGGTTTGGTTTTGCCATAGCAACCTGGTCCCTCCCAGCCTTCGCCTTTGCCTTTTTCACTCTTTGCTGCATTGGGCCACGTGCTTATCACCACCACAGGTATCAAAGCGTTCCTTGCTGTAGGCTGCTGTTTACACTTAGAGTGTAGGTTTGCAAAATGCCAGAGAGGAAGCAGAGCCAGGATTCAGCATAAAACTGAAATGTAATGCTATGTACAGGAAGCGTATTGGCCTATTTGTGACTGGGTGGAGCCTCTGTTGGATGGGCCAGAGAGTCATTTAATCCCACATGAGTTGCATCACTGCTTCTGCCATGTTAAAGCCCCTTTTTACTGAGCCTCGTAAATGTGAGCCTTTCCTAAGGGTTCTCTTGCAACCTCTGCAGTCCTTTGGAGTAGATACAGTCCCCTGCTCTGAATTCCTAAAGTTTCTACTTCAGGTCTGTTAGAACCTTAGCAGCATTACCAACTTTCACTTAACTTAAATAAACTGGTGGAACGCTCTTTTGTGGAGTAGCACACCAAAATAACACAGCGAGTCAGTTTGGAGGAGTTTTAAGTTTCCTCAGCTCAGATGGATTAAAACTGTGCAGTTTCCCTGTATGTATGCAGGTTCACTCTCTTGCTTATTTTCTTTCAGGTACTATCTCAAGACATTTACGGACTATCCAAAATCAAGGAAAGCCTTGATTCCTTTCGTTTTTTAATGATTGAAATATGGACTCTTTTTTTGGTTTTTATAGGATTTTTTTTTTTTGAGTTCCTAGTTTTAATGTTAGGTCTGACTACAATTGTACAAGTGACAATCTGGGGGTGCAACAGAAAAGAAGGTAATTTGGAATGAAAAGTCTTGTGGTTTTACCCTTTTTTGGTTGTGGTTTTGTTTTTTTTTTTTTTACCCTTTCTACCCCATCTGCAGGGTAAATTGCAGATACTTGTGGGCACAGGGACTCCTCAAACAACATAATTGCTTGTCAGTGGAGTTCTACGAAAAATGAATATACAGCTACGCTGACATCAGAGAAAACGCACTGGCTAAGTATTGATGAAGAAAAGTAGAACATAAACCCATTACTTTGGAGCAAGTCTTCAGCAGCCACTCCGGTTTATAGCACTTCTGCAACTGCTTCTTCCTGCCTCCATGCTGCAGTACACGTGTCCTTGCTCTGCTGGCAGTGCCCTATATGTTGCCACACTTTAAACCAGAGTAGGGGTCTCATTTGCCCCCAGAATTACTCAGCCCGTTATTCTTCATCTAAAAGCCAGCTTAGCTCCCAGAAACATAATGTTACAAGAGAGTATTTGTGCTGGCACCAGGCTGGGAGCAGTGTGCCATGGCACAGAGGTGATGTTAAGTACACAGAGATGGAAGCTGGCACTCACAAGCACAATGTCTGTGTTCCCTCCTTAAGCAATACTCTCCTCACTGTCAGATGATTAATCTTCAGACACCAGGGTTTGTTTTTTCAAATGTACTTTGTTATAGCAATTGCAGCTCCATTAGGATTTCTTTTTCTCTTGCAAATCCGGATCCCTTCTCAGAATAAAAATTTTTCCACTCAAAACCACTCAGTTGTTGTTCATAAAAAGACTTGAGATGGTGATGTATGACAAAAATGGCAACAAATAAGAAGCCTTGTGTTAAAGAAAATGTTCTCTGACACTGGCAGTACATTTCGTCTATGGAAAACGTTTTCAGATACTCTTATTAGGAAATGATGCAGAGATATTACTGAATTTTCACAAAAGCACAAAATGTCTCTCTTAATTTCAGAATACAGTCAGGAATATTAAAAAAAAAAAGTCATTAACCCTTTTAGGAAGAGATGTCCTCGTGGATGATTTTAGTTACCCTTCAGAGCATAAAATCCTGCTAAGAATTATGCTGAGTAGCTGAAAATAAAAAAGACCAGACTGCACACATGAAACATACTACCTGCTGCTGGAGTAACCTGATTGATTGTATGCCATTTCCTCCAAAACACAATAAAATTTATGTAAAACACAGAGCTGTGCTAGCCTATGACTTAACTGTTTGCAGAAACGAGTCTCTGCAATATTGCTTACCAAACCTGCTCACACTGTCTTCCTCCTTCTGGGCAAACCCTCCCTTCTTTGCTCATATTATTAATTATCTCCATTTCCACAGAGTGGAGTAGCCAGCTGAGGGTGAGAGCCATTGCACAGTCTCTCTACAGCCCACCAGAGAACTGGAGCCTTTGCCATGTGTAGGCAAAGGGAATGGAGGGACAAAATAAGGCACAAGCAGCCTTGTTGTTGCGTGGGATGAGAGTTCCAC